AAATTAAAAGTGAAGCTGAATAAAATGAAAACAAGTCCAAGAGAGCCAAAATATGACCTTGAATATATCCCACCTGAATTTAGAGTTCATCTGAAGAACAGATTTGATAACATTAAACACTAAAGACTGAAGACCAGAAGAGTTATGGTATGACATCAAGAACATCATACATGAAGGAAGCAAAAAGTCATTAAGAAGACAAGAAAGAAAGAAAAGGTCAAAATTGATGTCAGAAGAGACACTAAAACTTGCTCTCCAGCATAGAGATGCTAAAGCAAATGGGAGAAATAAGGAGGTCCAAGAGCTAAACAGAATTTTCAAAGATCAGCTAGAGAAGACAAAGCCAAATAGTACAACAAAATGTGCAAAGATCTATAATCAGAAAACAAAAAAGTAAGAACATGCTCAGCATTTCTCAAGCTGGCGGAACTGAAGAAAAAATTCAAGACTCAACTTTCATTATTGAAAGATTCTCTGGGCAAATTATTGAATGATGCAGAAAGTCTCAAAAGAAGATGGAAAGAATACACAGAGTCACTGTACCAAAAGGAAATGGTTGATGTCAACCGTTTCAAACGGCAGCATATGATCAAGAGCAAATGTTCCTGAGGGAGGAAGTCCAAGGTGCATTGAAGGAACTGGCAAAGAACAAGGCACCAGGAATTGATGGAATAAAAATTGAAATCTTTCAAGAAAGTGAGTTGGCACAGGAGGCACTCACTCATCTCTGCCAAGAAATTTGGAAGACAACTATCTGGCCAGCTGATTGGAAAAAATCCATATATGTGCCCATTCCAAAGAGAGGTGACCCAACAGAATGCAGAGATCATCGGACTATCTCTTTTATAACCCATGCCAGTAAAGTTTTACTAAAGGTAATACAGAAACAGCTACAATCATACACTGACAGAGAACTTCCAGAGATTCAAGCTGGATTCTGAAGAGTCTGTGGAAAGAAGGATATCACTGCTGATATCCAATGCATCTTGGCTAAAAGCAGA